GGTATTGTAGTAACATAGAAATCAAACGGTAAGGCATTTGGTATTGTAGTAACATAGAAATCAAACGGTAAGGCATTTGGTATTGTAGTAACATAGAAATCAAACGGTAAGGCATTTGGTATTGTAGTAACATAGAAATCAAACGGTAAGGCATTTGGTATTGTAGTAACATAGAAATCAAACGGTAAGGCATTTGGTATTGTAGTAACATAGAAATCAAACGGCAAAACACTTGACATTAAAATATCTTGGAGATAAAATCGACTGAACTTTGCTGTCGTTTTTTGTTGTTGTTGTTGTTGTCCTCATTGGCGTTTCTTAAACTTAGAAGGGCTAGTCAACTTTTCAGAACGAGGTCGTACATCTTTAAGTGCTGGAAGCCTACTATTTTAATACAGTACACAACAAAATTGATCATTTTGAATCACACAAGCAGCTGTTATCAACGTTTTGATAATCTTTAATTGTGTTTACAGATTGACTTAAGTTTTGAGTAGTGACTGGAACCTGGAAGTTTTTTGCAATCCAACTCTATATATAGAATGTGTATATTCAGATTTATTCTGGAGCTCTACCCCTACGCAACATTTTAAAAGGCCATTCCGGGCGGAATTCCTGTGCCATTATTATTCATAATCATGTATATAACGATATGTTAAAAAAAAACGTCACCATTTCCAGTAAATTTGAATATTCATAGGCCTATTTGTGACAGAGTTCAAACTGTTTAGATTTATAAAAACTTCATTTTCTTCTTTTTTCTTTGCTGCAAAGGTGTTAAATGCTTGTATTTCTTGAACTTATTGCAAGCTTGTTTTATATTTCAGTTGATTCTATAGTGTTTGTGTCTACGAACACAGTTTTTGGGTTTGTATTAAGGTACAGAATGTAAAGTTAACGAGAAATTCTATTGAAAACAGATTATCAAGTCTTTTAATGGTTTTGTCAGCTTAGACACTTGCATCACTCTCTATCGGCTAAAGCCAGGCCTGTAAAATTTATGCATGACAATATACAAGACTTCAATTTCTGCCAATAAATTCTCTAAAGTTTTGGTATTTTCAATCTGGACACTACATTATTAATGAAATTCACATGTATAATACGAATTATAGATAATATTTTAATTTGTATGTGGCGCGCCATCTATACGTGGAATAGTGAACCTTAAACGTTGGGACAACTAATGGAACAGTTTAGATTGCCATAGCTGAGTTTCATTTTTTCATGATCAAGTACACAGGCCTGCGATGGTTTTATTGTATTGAAATTTTTACATGTTTTACGGAAATTCATGTACACTGAATTCGAAAATGATATCCATATTTTCTCCATCACGTACAGATTTTTCACAAAACATCATATTTTCTTTTACATAAATGAATCATTT